CATATTATTTTCCCTTTGATAAAAAGAAACTTGTTGTAGCAAAGATCAGATGGTTAAGAGTGATAATAATCAAAACAATAACAACCCCGGGAATGATTTAGGTAAGATAGAGAGAAAAAAACTGAAACAAGAAAACATTCAAAAACAAAATATTTTTGTTTAAACAAATTAAATATTAAGGCTAATTTAATAATTTTATTTTTTGACTTGAATTTAGAAAAAATGAATTGCCATTTCCAATTATAAAAAAATCAACCGGTAAATAAAGATTTTAAATAGAAAAATGATAAGTAAATGTTAGAGGGAATGGACTCGACTTGGGATTGGTTCTAAGTCTTTCTCATCATCTTTTTTATTTAAATTTTTAAGCCATCAGGAATGGTGGGATTTTAGAACACAATATTGCTAAACTACAAAACGTTTTACCTTTCTCTCGATTAAATATTCAAAACATGAAAATATAAAAATGGATGATCCCTGGACAACACAAAAACACAAGCATAAAGGTGGCATTTACAGAATGCACATTTTTACGACAGTACAGGTTAAGGATGTTTTTTTTAATTTTCAAAACTATGTCAAACACTTAAAATCAGAAGGAAAACCCTTACATATAAACAAGTCAATATCTTCAATTATGATTATATTATAAGTACAACTTGTTTTATAATTTAGCTTTTGGATAATATCAATAAGTATCTTTTATCTAAATGGACATGCATTGCAATACTGACACCGTAAAATCTGACGTTTTTTAAAATAATGTGAGAAGTTCTGCTATCATGTATTGAGACAAATGAACTTTCCCAGAAATACTGGTACTGTTTGTTTTGACATAAGATGACTTAGAAAAACACATTTACACTTGAGTTTTTTCTGGATAATTAATGTCAAGACATTAAAAATATAAGCGAGATTAAGACAACATTTTAAACTATGCAATTTAAATATACGTATGTATACACGAGCAGAAACAAACAGTTTTTTTTTTCAAGATTACATGTTAAATATGCAGTCGTAATAACTATGCTTGCTTAATTCATCATAAAATATCGGCGTAATTGAAGAAAAAGGCAGATGTAAGACATAAAACATTTGCATAACATTCTATTGGCCTCTGAAGCAAACACTTATTTTTCTTCCTATTTTTTTATTTGTCTTTAAAAACACGTCGCATGCAACCGGAGCACCAAAGGCGATGTATGTCTTCACGAGGTAAGTGAGTATTTTCAAATTGTTTCTTTTACCTCTATTTTTTTACATTATGTCAAAGTGAGGTTTTGAAGTTTTTATTTTATTAAAATATTTAATATCTAAACTCATTATGAATACCTACATAAATTTATCTGACAGACATTGCTCAATTGTTTTCAATAATTTTCTTTTATATACTGTAAAGATATGTATTTTTCAGTCATCTATTTTAGTCAAAAGTTTTAAAACATAATGTCATAATATCAAATATAATTAAATTTTAATAACGGAATGTAACGTGTAAAACAACATCAGTAGTATGCGAGCATAAAACTGCGATTTTGAAAAACAATCTACAAAATGATAATAGAACACAACTTTCAAGTTGCAACTTAATACATTTTGCCATCTTTGAGTTATTTCTTCTGCAATGTATTTTCGAACTTGAAATAAATATATTAGTAATTTTTTCTTTTAAGTTATTTTCATTATAAGACAGGCCTTGTTATCAGTATGCTTCATTTTATTCAAATAAATTACATGAATAAGAATAATGAAAATTTAAATAATATTAAATAAATGTTGTTCTCTGTTTTATGTTATCTTCATTTTTGAGACAGACCTTGCTTTCATAATGGTTCATTTAATCTAAATTAAGATTTCATGATACCGGAATAATAGAGAGAAAGTTGAAAATACTGAATAAAAACATCAAATAGAATACACACTTGTTTTCAGCGTTCAACATTTAGGATTACTCGGGTGAAGGAAAAGCCACCATTATGCTTTTTAAAGGTTGGTGAAATATCATTTTTGTATTTTTGTATAATAATTTATAAATAATAATAACTCCATGTTAACAACTAACAAAAAACAACAACAAAAATAAAAAAACAACAAAAAAACACAAAAAAAACAAAAACAACAACAACAAAAAACATTAAAAGCATTTTTGCAATGTTGTCATAATATATACTTAAATTATCTATACGACCTACGAAATCCATACTTTATTAGATTACAACAAAATGTATTCAAGTTTACTTTACTATACTTGTACTACTTGCTTACTATGAGCTTTAAAACTGAAATTTTGCACATCGGTTAATGGTCTAGGCCTACATCAAACGCAACATTATTCTTGAAAACATATTTCCAGTCCTGTCATGTCAAAAACCTTATAAAAGTCCCTTTATTATAGATTGAATATAATAATTGCTTTCCTATCTTGTAAATTATTAAAATTTTATAATCGTGTAAGTGAACCCTTAGTTATAGTATCATTTGAATCTCAAATTATGTTGGAAAACATTTTTATGTGAACAATTCTCTGTAGAAAAAGAATTAATACATCAATACTTTAAGGTTTATTTCATTAAATTTGTAGTTCAGTTATTTTTATATTTCGAGACAGAACCAAACCGGTAATTTATAAATGTCATTTTTGAAATGAATAAATTTTAACTACATTGTGACTTCCATGCAAATTACTTAAAAGTATCAATCCCCCGGTATTTCAGGAACAAAATATTATTCAGGTTATAAGGCAAGTAACATTTTGGAAACTATAAACAGGACACCAAATATGAAAATAGAAATCTTTTTGAGAAATTATATAAAAAAAAAACAATTAAAAAACATTTCTGAAGAATAATGTGCCTTTAATATTATATAAATTGCTTTTTCAGGATTTCTCCTTTTTCTGCTGGCTGCTCCTGGAGACGTTGGTTAGTTTGATTATCTAAATTTCATGAAATTTTGTTTTATAAATAAACAAAACCTTATTCGTTTTGTTCATTATTGTATGATAATTATCGGAAACAAGTTTCTGTGATAATGACGAAAATATCTTTAAAATCAATAAATTACTCATTATGAGTAAATACCAATAATTTAATGTCCTAAGTTCTATAGTTTTACGTCGGTAAAGGCTAGATATACAAAACGTAGATTAAAGAATAAATCGTAATTGTTTTGTGCATGAAATTACCTGAAACTATACAAAATCATTTCATATTTATATCTGACTTAATGTAAATATTACAAATGATGTATTTCTTCAGCTTCAATATCTTGTTATTCGTGTAACAACGTTGACAATTTAGACAGTTGTAAAACTAAAACAACATGCGAGGAAAGACAGGTGAGTATGTTCTCTGAAATATTGTCGTTACATTGGAATGAGTTCCATTTAATAAATCTAATTATTTGAATACGTTTAGATAAGTTTGTCATTTCATGATCGACATCTGACGTTTAAATATGGTATTTTTAGAGATTCACATTTACATTCTGTACATCTTTGATGTTGTTTTTTTGAAAAATTAAAATATATTTTACCTTCAGTCATGTTTCACACGTTTAGAAAAGAATGGACAATCTGCCTCTTTCACACTTGGGTGTATACAAAATGAGGTAAGATACATTTGTTCCCTGTATGATGTATTTTAAGTACTACTACTAATGATAAATACATGCGCCTTTTTCGTCATTAAAACACTGACATAAAAAATCATTTAAAGCCTATTTGAAATACATATCATAAAATTTAGATATGAATGTTGTGCATTTAAACATTGCACGGTATAGAGTAGGATGCCCCTCGACCGACATATACCTATTGACAAGGAAAATAAATAACATGGAACAAAAAAAATATTTAAATTATTTATCTTTTTTTTATTTTCATTTTTTGATATTTTTGTTTAACTGTGTTCCAACGTTACAACTCAATTACTGGAAAAACAATTTGCCATACAATTATGGAAGCAATATGATTCGATTTTTTTTGCATAAAACATTTATGCTGAGCATAATTCTTATTCGCTTCGTCAAAAAATCATTCAAAGGCCATTATGTTATCTATCTAACAATATTTCCGCAAAAACATTAGTACATTAATGATATGTTTTGATGTGAAAATGCCACAACCGCCTTAATGTGCAATCAAGTTGTCTATACTTGTGGCGTAAGTGACAATGGTAGACAACATTACATAATGCTTAGATTTTGTCAAGTAAATGCTTTTACATTGAATATATTTATCATGCCCTTTTTACAGTACTGCAGTAGCATACCAGTATACAGTAATGTGTCAAAGTTGAGCAATGGTCAACTGATACAAGAATGTGAAGAATGCTGTGGTGTTGATCAATGTAATAAAGACCTACATGTATGCAACAACAAAACCCGTAAGTATCCTTACTCATCCACTTACAGAAAAGTTTTCAATATTGGTATTCTAATTATAATTGATTGTATTGTACGATTTTACTTTTTATTATTATATAAAGATGTTTTCCAAATAAAATGCCTTAACAACATATAAAATTCTACTTGTCAACATATAAAATTCTGATAAATAACAACATATTTTAAAGTTCTACTTGTCATAAATTTGAAATAACTGATATTCTTTTTAAGAAGAGAAGATTTCTCACTCATTCACCTACTCAATCACTCACAACCTCATTAAATTTTAATTTCAATTTAAGCGCCACCTTGTAGCGATACTATAGAAAATTGTGTATACTGGGATAAAGGTTTTGGTATCTGTGAAAATATCCATAAAGCTAAGTCAGTTTGTCGTAAATTCTGCAAACTGTGTGATCTAGGTAACTACATTTATACTGTTTCTCATATAAAATGCTCACAAAATTAAAATGAATTTAAATATAATGATTCTAACTGTACAAATGTAAACACGTCTCTAGATGTTGACTGTAATTTTACAATTGAGAGAAGTAAAAAAGTTTGTCGTATTAAGTGTAATCATCGTTCGGTCACATCTACAAGTGATGTTATTATTATTTATTTGAAGTTGACGGTAACTGGGCAGATTGGTCTTCATGGTCATCATGTGACGTCACATGCGATCATGGAAAACACACACGAATTAGAACGTGCACAAACCCTGCACCTGCTTACAAAGGTCTGGATTGTAATGGAAACAACACGGACTTTAAACCTTGTACTCGGCCATTATGTCCAGGTAAAAGTATAAGTAAATTGATTATTTGTATTTTCAAGTTTTGACCATATTGAGAACATTTTGTGTATAAACATAAGTACACCCAACAAATGATGATTTATTGATTTATACATTATGATGAAATTAAATACAATTAGTTCCTTTTGTTTACAAAAAATATACATAATGAGAAAAACTAGCAAAATAATGCCTCAAAATAATGCCTTGCTGGTAATAATTGTAATTTTCTTTTATATAATTTGTATAGTTTGATTAATATATTTATGTTTTATGGTCGTCTGAACAGCACAAATATGAGTGTACAATGAATGTAAATCACTGTGGTAATGGCATGAAATTTAAAAATATAATTTTATAATTTATATTGTCTACTGTTTACTTTGTTCTTGTCAAACGTTAAAATGATCCTGTTTCAGTTCATGGGGGCTGGGCGGGATGGTCAAGCTGGGAGTCGTGCCCTGTAACCTGCGATATAGGTATTCAAAAGAGACATCGTAAATGTACTAACCCGTCTCCACTTCGACACGGCAACCATTGCTTTGGTGAATCTATGGATGTAAAATTATGCAAGCAAAAGCCATGTGATGGTATGTACATATTCATAATAAACATAATGCTCAAACATCTCATTTGTTATTAATTGCACGTAGGAAAATGTTTAACGTCACTATTTATGTTTTGCACATAAATACATAAATTATCTGCGTTTTAATCGGCATTAATGATCTAAGATAGGAGTCATCATAGCATGAAACTCTCTCTCTCTCTTCCTTTTTATTAAAAAAAGTATATTAACGTCACGATAATCCAATAAAAAGCGGACGCTCAGTATTATAAATATCATCTTAGCTGTATCTGAGAACATTTAAATATTGCCTTTCGTGTGCTTATATATTAAGACTAGATTTAAAGCTTGAAATAAAAGACAAAGTATAAAACTCTTCCGTTATATGCAAGTTTTATGACAACATGTGTATATGTTTAAATTTATGTTTGAACTACTTTTTTCTTCATTCACTCTTCTTGATACATTTATATTTTTTAATTGATTAATTAGTTGTCTTTCATCTATTAGCACTAGGAAGGAGGAATCGTAGAATACATGAAAGTGATATATTGTAGATATATAAATGCATTTGTAAGACATGGCTAATTCGTGTGTAAATATACATACGGCGTCATCAGATATATGTAATAAGACTGAAATGAAAATATTTCAAACAGTAATCATAATATTCATATCTACTTGTGCATTGTAAATAATGGGAAAGTAAAAGATGTATTTGGTTGGTGTATCCTTTACGTACATTATGCAGTAAGCAGTATTTCAAAGAAGTGGTGTTCCATCATAAGCAATTGTTTATCATGCGGGAATGGTTACTATTGTGTGAAAACATCTATACGACTATAAAATGATTGATACATATTATTGTATATTTTTATAAAAGACTCTAACGGAGGTTGGTCAATATGGAACAAATGGAACAGCTGTAGCGTATCTTGTGAAGGGGGAGTAAGAATCAGGTCAAGGTCATGCACAAATCCAAAACCAGGAATTCATGGAAGATCATGTGTTGGTGATCCCGTGCAACAAGACACCTGCAACAATACTGACTGTCGTAAGTTACTTATTGTTTCAACTCATGAGCATTATGTCTTATCATATACATTAATCATGTGTCATATTTGAACATATTATATTTATTATTTCTATTCAAATTGAACATTTGATTGAACATATTCGCTGAATATTTCACTAGTTTAATTTTGTGCAAATTTATGCGAAACATATTTTTCTTATTGGTAGACACTTTAAGAGTTATACACTTTATTTACATTTTATTTGCTTTTTTCATATCTTAAAAAGTTAACAAACATGTTGACGTGATTGTAAGTTAAACGTTATATCAATCAATTAGTACAATTATTTGAAATAGTTGTGTGTATTTTTTCAGCGCATGGTTCAAGTGTTGCTTTTAATGCCTACCATGTAAATGACTGCAGTCCAGCGATAGGACAAACTATTATTTTTTCTAAAGTACTAACAAATGAAGGAGAGGCATATAACAAGGTCAATGGTATCTTCACTGCACCGAAAGATGGATTATATACCTTTTTCGCACAGATGTGTATTTATTCGGGTTTTAGAATGCATTTTGAGATAGTGGCAGGAACAAAAGTTTTCGCAACAGCATATGGGTATACTTACAGAGGTAATGAGTGTTCATCGGCACAGGCGATTGTACAGTGCAAAAAAGGTAACAAAGTATTTGTCAAATGGAACACATGGTCATATTCTTCAATTTTCCTTGCCCAAGCTACCTATTACAGAAATTCCTTCTCTGGAAAATATAATCTGTAATTGTTACAATAAATGTACTGATTTTCTTATGAACTGATAAACATAATAAAAACCACAAAGTTAATTAACTTTAATTTATTAGTGATTTTAATATATATATTACTTTTCATTGTTATTCATGCTAAGCGACATTTTTCTTTCGTTGTCACTTTTTTCAATGATTAGAACAAAATCAATTGTTCTTACAACTCAAAATTGACCATTCTTTCTGCATTTACATGTATTTATCTCATATTTTACTCTCATGTGTGATGTTTGGAAAGTGGCCAATCGTTTTTTTTCCCGTAATTTATACCTATTTTGATGAGCAGATGTACATTAAAATTCCTAAATAACTATAATCACAGTCTGATTTATTATTTGCTGATGTTCTTGGTTCCAATAAAATATTAATTACAAATGACTTAGAAGCGTTTTTTTCTTTCGTTTCAATTGTTATCATTCATGTTAGAATTAATTCAAATGTCATGTCTTTATAATTTGCATAAACGTAACGTCGATCAGATTGTGTGCTCTTATCTATAGTGATATGTAGTGTGTTTTTGAAATTTTAATTTTAATATTTATACAAGTTGCGTAAAATTATGAAACTGACAATGAAAAAACAACAACAACAAAGTAACATGTTGTTCTTGTTTACAAATCGGTTAGTCTACACAATGTGTACAACAAAGACAAAACAATGACAGACAGACATGTAGTGATATATGCGATTGTATAAGGGTTACTACCTATTTGTGTTGAAACGACAGAATTATACTAAATTATCCAATATGTCAATTTTATACAAATTATATTTGTTGTGTCAAACTTAATTTAACCGTTTTGAGGTCGTTGCATTTTCAAAAGAATTATGATATTCGATTTCGGATATATTGAAGTTTACAATGTATTTTGATTTTATTTCGATCTGGAATTAACTAACATTTTGTATTTCATATATTAATGTATAAAATTGCATTCTTCTATTCTACAAGATGAAGATATAACATGTTTTGTTTGTTAACGTGACAAAGTGATAAAGTGTTACCATTCATAAAATCATTTAATAATCGCAACGTAATTTAACAAAAAATCACATGGTGCGTAAACTTAAAAATAACGATACAATATAAGCAAAATGTTATTGTATGTCACATTTGTAAAAAAAGGATTAAAATGTATGTTTGAATGTTTTTGTAATGTATGTCTTTACATAAAGATTATTAACTTGAACGAAAACACTTTGGTTCAATCTTAATATTACTTAGACACTGGTTGTTTATGTTTTTTTTATATACAAGTAAACAAGCTTTAGAGTTGGAATTCTGTTTCTTGAAATACAATCATGGTATACTTAGCAGCAAAGTTTGGATTGTTAAGCAATAATAGCAAAGTTTAGAATCATTTTAATATAGAATGCAAATTTATGTATGTAAGTTGATGATTATACACATAACATGCACTTGTGAGTATCATTTTATTGACCCATGTAAAATATATTGTTAAATTATGTTAAATGTATTAATATTCCGCTTAATAAAGATGATAACTATTAATTGATCTTTTGTCATTGGTTTGATTTACATTCTTCAAATATGTAAAAATGGTTAAACAGACTGATAACCTGAAATCAATGCATTTAAAAACGTAACAAAAGGCGGATTAAAACCGTTAAGGACAAGAAAACTGCATCTACAGGTACAGTTTGTTGAACCAAATGTGAATGGCAATTGACAGCAATTAGCTTTCTGCAGTAAAAGCGACATACACAGCATAAATATTATTTTGTTATTTGTACGTATTTTAATACTAGTACGTCGCATTACAGTTTGTTTGCTGCTGCACAACTTTGTTTAACTGTACAATGATAAAAACGCTCTTACTGTAATTCTAGATTGACATTGTCAAATAATTCAAATGCAATTAGAATTGATAGTGCAGTTTAATTGATTACTTTAATTGAGAAATAAAACAGGTTGCTATATCCATGTAATGATTCGTGGCGATTTGCAACAACGAGGTCCAATAAGCAAAATGATTTACAATATATTTTCAGATTTTTTTTCAGTAGAAGGCACGCCAATAAAAGAGCAAAATTGGTTGTCAATTAGTCATCTACCAAGACCCTTTTTATTTGATGCTCCTTATCTTGATGCTAAATTTTAAAATATAACTTCTAGGTATCATATATCACCAAACAATATGTGGTTTGCTTATCAAATTGACACCAGGGGCAGGGTCAATATTGATCCACGGGGCATGCTTGTAAAGGTCAATAGGGCAATACTGCATGCTAAATGTCAAAGCCCTAGACATTTAAATTTCACACAATGACACTTGTGCTTCCCTATATCATTAGTCTATTTAAATCCAGTCATCCCGCGGGGATGGGGGAATTATGATCTCAGGAATATCTAATCTGTGTTCTGCCTATTTTTTTCATTTTAAGTTATATTTCTGCAACACAACCAATGTAGAACCCAGTCAACCTGCACATCGATGTAGTTTGGCTACGTTCTGAGCTGTTGGTAGCACAAATTTGTACTTTGATAATGAAACCTTTGTATAGACTTTTCCAAATTCAGAAGACAAGCCCATTACACGAATTCAGCAGGATAATGGTTGAACTGATGCATATTTCTGTGTTCCTCCTACATTGTCTTATTATTAATCAGTCATGCATGGCCAATCTGTACACTGACATTGTAACATTTTTAGGGAGGAGGGCAGTTTCTTTGGAAGATGGTATTTTTTTATCAATAAAGAACTGTTGATGGAAACAGACAAGAACCAACAAAGCAGAGCCCAGTAGAGGAACCAAGACCTTAACTTGCATCGAAGGCATGGTTTCTTAAAAAATATGACATAGTAGTGCAATTCCATGAACAGCGGCGTATGGTCCACAAGTAAAAGAATGCTTTTGCCCTAAACGAGAAAACAATGGGCGGAACTAAATAAAATGGAATATTGAAAGGGGATCTGAGGTTATGAAGACTGCATATCACAGACAAGACGTCAAAAGACAATTTTAAAATGCAGGCAACATATCCTAAGGGTGATTATACAGTATTCAAGTAGGAATACTGGAACCACCCAAGTTGACAATTGCCAATTAGAAGAAACTAAAAGTACCACATAACATGTTAACACAACAATAATGTCGTGCTGAACGATCTGCACTTCCATTCAATGAGATCTTTCTATCTATACAGTTTTGTGTTGATATCTCTTATAGTTTCAGAGTTATGTCAAGGGTAATATTCAAAGTGCAAAATGAACAAAGGGCAATTACTCCAAAATTAGACAAGGCTGTGTTTACTTTAATTAGCATTGCAGTTCTATCCAATGAGATCTATCTACCTACAAAGTTTCATGTTGATATCTCTAATAGTTTTAGAGTTATGTCCCGGACAAAAATCAAAATACACAAAGGGCAATAACTTCAAAATAAGGCAAGACAAAGGTATGGTTATTTAACAATGCACTTCTACTCAATGAGATCTACAAAGTTTCATGTACCGTATAAGTACTTATTTCTGTGGGCTTAATATTCTGCGATTTTTGTTAAAATAAGGGGTTTAAAATTTCTGCTTATCTTATTTCTGCGTTGTCATCATTCTCTTCTCGCACTGATGCTTTTTTTTCTGCTGTAACAGGAGCCAGGACTGTTTGGCTTAAATACCCAGGTTCGATCCAGATTAAATAGTGTGTGCTTATTTTGGAAAGAAACAACTAAATCTAATAACTTTATACTCACAATTTTATTATAAGCAGACAAGCTGTATGAAATATATAACTGAATATAATACCAGATTCTATATATTTCTGAAATAAACTCCTAACCAGTTCTTTTGAATATAAATTTGTATGAATTAAATAAATTTTTCTCTAAGAGCCAAAAAATGTAACCTAAAATCTAAATTATAAAGGAAAAGAAAATTTTTAGAGAGAGACATATGGTTCAGTTCTAAGGCCTATGAATTAGGTAACACTTTACGTTTAGCTCGGCGACCAAAGCACTGAACGCTGGGCATAGGATTGGAGCCTATTTATGCCAGGGTTTCCCGCCAAAAATTGAGGGACATTACCAAAATAATCATAAAATCTAGTACTGTCATTGAACTGCATATATAAAACTGTAGTGAAACTTATAGTACATATAGTTATGTTATTCTTTAACAACCCACTGGAAGGAAAAACAAGAAGCATGAAAATATCATGCTGTAAGTACAAGTACACTATACTGTAACTTAAAGGTGTATAACCATACTTTTAGAAGATGCACTGATAATGTAAGGAAACTGTCTGAAACGAATGATTCCAGGTCCGTATAAACATGTAGTTTAAGGACAAATTCTCTATACAATTGAAACATATGAAAAGCAAGGGTTATAACTGTTTCCCGAAACGTACTAAAGCAGTTATCCTATGCATACATGTATAATAATTGAAATAAAATCAAGGTGTATACCTTTAATAAACCCGCACTCGGTGTACTGAAGAAAAGTAGTTCAAAATAGGTCATACCAACATAATAATATGATTAAATTTAGTCAATAATAATTTCGAAAATTAGCAGGAAGATATTTTAATTGTAACATAGTAAATGTCATTATTAACAAAACACAAAGTGAAAGATTTCTCTGATTAAGATCTAACAAATGTAACCGTTAAAGTTGAAAGTCCTGAATAAATGAAAGTCACCCTTGAAGTACACTAAGAATAACTTCTGCGTTTCATTATGATAAATTATGCACTGTATTTGAAGAATGTCATAAAGCACTGTTGATCTTCTTGCCTTCGGACATCCGCATTGAAAGTAGAATAAGAACACATTTGGATCCACATCATACCCATTTTTAGGTCTAATGCCTGGTTTGACCTTAAATGGACCTACTCCAGTATAGGCGACTTATCTGCGGCCCCCGGATGGGTTTGGCGGACCTAGCAGCACGCCGGCTGACCAGGCGAATACAAAAAACAAATATTTAATGTTGAGTACGTTGCCATTTCGGTTTCTGTGGATGACAATTGCCCTTGCTCAACCGTGGCAACCTCATCCCGGCAATCAACTTGTTTCCCAG